ATAATTTACCACTTTATCTAATAAATTATCAAAATTGTAGCGTTGTTGTCATATTTTTTTTGTTTTGCATCTGGTCACACCATTATTCAACAAAACCTATAAATCCCTGTAACTAAAGCATTTAATTGTAATACATAGAGTAAAACTTGACACAACTTCGTTAACTGGGAGTGAACGTTATTTTAGGTCATGCTACTTTCATTATATGAAAATGCATTAACCATTAGAATTCTATCTGAGCACTAAGGCGTTTATTTAGCAACACAATCGACATAATGTTTGTAAAACGTCTGATACCACAAGCTCCTTGAACTGTTGCCATTCTTATGAGTAATCATGCTCTTAAGCTCAAAAACATTTCATGTACCATAGTTAGAGATGTTATTAGGCAGTCAAATTGATACTTTAATTCTGATCGAATTCTATTAATCTACTGATCGCTTTGTGAAAAATCACTGACGTAATGCTTATGTGATTCTTTAAAACATAATTTTGTTTTCGCACAACACTAAGTATAAATAAATGTCATCTGAAAATCTTTTTTACTGATAATGTAACATGGATATGAATACATCCGAATAGAATTTTTCTCGCCTATTTTTTTTGTAGGGTACTGCTCTAGGTATGTGTCCAAAAGACAAGCTATTCCGCGGTTATATTGAATTGGAGATCCAGTTGAGAGAATTCGATAGATGTCGTAAATTATATGAAAAATTCCTGGAATTTTCTCCAGAAAATTGTACTACATGGATGAGGGTATGTCATTTCACTTTTATGCTGTTAGAGGGAAATTGATTATGAATACAGTGATCTTGAGTGATTCTAGAGGTATGAGGGCGGTTACCACTTCTCAGTTGCCCACACCGTGGAAGGGTTCCTCTGGAGGTACATGAGGAAATCGGGTTAGAAATGGTCTTAGCGACCTGAGAGCGTAACTGCAGAGCCTAAGGGACAACTACTTGAGTAATGTTCGTGTTAGCTCCTTACTTGTTGAGACCTTACCGCCACAGATGGAAATTCGTGGGACGAAAGATGTGCATTTATGGTCGATCTTTTCTAACCCCACCCTTCCTTGTAGAAGGCAGCATATGCCGGTTGTTTGAAGGAAACACCTTGCTGCTGTCACACCTCTGTACAGTGAGCAGTATGACTTCGCCCTCGGACCATAGGTTTGCTGCTTTTAATCTTCCCGCTCTTCAACCGACCTGTCTGTCATGGTAGCCAGTATAGCTCGATTGATTCATTAAGATAGGCAAGCCCGACCACCACGTCAAGGTATCAGCAACGGTCGGGTCTATTTTATGCTGTTCCATTCTGTACTACATATTTGAATTTTGTTTAGTTGATACATCAACGTTAGATATACAAGGTTGGCGATAGTTTCATATATTTCTAGTGATTTATTTTAAAGTAGAAAAATGATGTTTTCTTAAAAAGCGGTAAGTATTGAGCATGCCCTTTTATTGAATGTAAATGCATTATAGATAGAATATTTCGAGGCGAAAAATAAGAATAATTAACGTTGGATCATATTAAAAATAACTGATCGGTGGGTTTTTAGGCTGAAAGTCTTAGCTTTCATTCGCAATAATAATCGTTTACTGTAATACCATATGCTGATGTGCAGTATTTTAAAGTAGGTAAAATAAACTTTACTGTATGCAAACCACACTATACAATATTTTGGTTTTTGACTTGTGCAAACCTAATATATACTATGTCTGGGGATTCTAGGGTTTTGTCTTAACTAGGTTGTCTTCATACACTGTAAAATATCTACTGCACTTAACGGCGTATACCTTATACAGCATCATCATTAAGAACTAGTAGTTGGATAATCCGGAATTATGAGGTCTTATAGCTAAAAGACGAAAATTGTAGGCATAAGGATTTGTGAAATCTGAATGCTGTGATTATTACGTTACATTTCCAAGAGAGAAAAAATGGTATTTAGCAAAACCTGAAGTTTAGTTTTTTCCATCATTTCTCTAAAATAATGTCTGATAGATAAAATGTTCAGTGTAAATTATCAATTTGTCAATGATATTCAAATACTTTATCAGTTCATTGTTTATATCTAGTTGGCTTTACACAAACGAGAGCTAATAATAATTTTTATCCTTTTACTTTCATATATTAACGATTAACAAGTATGCTGAATTAGAAAGTCTTCTGGGAGAGACAGATCGTGCACGAGGTATTTATGAATTAGCGATCAACAGGAAATTGCTGGATATGCCGGAATTATTATGGAAGGCATATATTGACTTCGAGATTGAACAGTATGATTGGGAACGTGCTCGGTCACTTTATCGAAGACTGCTAAATCGAACACAACATGTCAAAGTAAGTGTTGTTATAAGTTAAAGGAATGTCACTATAAAAAATATCCATTTTTAGCAGGTTGTAGATTCTGGATAAACAAAGTGAAATACTGTATTCATCTTAGTAGTTTTTTAAGACTAATTACAAAATGAAGTCAGTAAGTGGATAATACTATAGTAATGAGTGGTTGTAAAAGCTGTTTGTTTAGTTCTAGTCGAAACCAGTTATCTGAAACAACCTGTACTTCAGAACTTGCTATAATCCACTACACCGAACTCCAAAACGTTACTCACTACGCTATCGAATGATAGTAGTTACTCCGTCTCCAAAACGTATTCGTAATCCGAGACTGGTGAGACCAACGAACCCCGTGTATAGCAGGAGTAAAATGGACTGTTCATATATAAAAAACCCATCTATAATATAACTGGTTTCTTAAGGTAGACCTAGAGACATCTTTTATCCTACGTTGTTAACATAATTTCAATATCAAGTAACCATCATAGTAGTTTAGTCTACCCTTATGACGACCCAAATGTTTCAATTAGTTTAAAAGTAAATGTATTCCACACAATTGGATTTCCCACTTATTTGGTAACCAAAGCTAATAACTTGTAAGTTCTCAGTCTTAGAGACAACTTTGCGATTATGATTGTATACATTAAGCGACATAAATTCAATGCACTCAACTGTACGTCCTATTTTACTAACTGACTTAAGTGTTAGTGCATCCATTGGGTCCACATTTCTGTTTAGTTTAAATGTTCGGGTTTGAAAATTTTGGATATTTCATAAATTTCACCCGCTCAGCGATTCGTGAGTTAAAAGTATTTCATTTCTCTTTTGACAAATATAGTAATATCTCAGAACTTATCTAAACGCCGATGTTAACAGCGTCTAAATGACTGAAATACTCCAACTCATATCACAAGTCCGCACTTCTAAAAAACAGTGTTAAACTGTATTATTGGTAAATTATACCATAATACAAGAAAGTGGGGTATTTTATCGGACTACTAATTATCCAGACAAACCAAAGTGGATAATTTTAGCAAGACTTTATTTAAATATAATTGTGGATTATCAATACTCCAACTTGGTATCGGATTTTATCGTACATATTAATTTGCTTGTCAATGATGATGAAATATTTTCAATTTGTTCTTATCGATAGGTATGGTTAAGTCTTGCAAACTTCGAGCTGTGTGCGTTGAACAAACTCACAGCCGCTGATTTAGATGATGAAGATTTAGAACATTTAAAAGATGTTGAACTGGACAAAGAGACATTAATACAAGAACATAATGAGAATGAAATCAATAAAGCTGTAGAACGTTCACGTAAAATCTACCAAGAAGCAAATAAAGCTCTGAAATATGCAGAGGATAAGGAACAACGTGTTCGATTACTTGAAGCTTGGAAGGAATTCGAAGTAAGTTATTATATCTTGTTTGATTTTCCGAATAGGGATTTACTTTTTATATCCATACCAGTTGTCTTTTGTATATATATGTAGCGAAACAGTATTTACTTCTAATCGCTTTTAGATCGTAGATATCTATAGTGACTCATCTTAGAGTTCGAGCTTTGTACTTGTTCTCCAGACTTCAATTTTTAGAATGTCCTATCTACAATCCCCATAATTAAAAAGTAGAGGTGTGTCTTTTTGCTTAATAATGGTATTACTTGATTGAGTGACAGATTTCGAGTACGGCTTATGTTAAAACGATTACCATTTGGAAGTTTGTTGAGCTTAACTGCATCTCAACTATTACAATTAACTGTATCTGTTCATTGCTCTCTAGCATAAGAATAATTTTACGACTGTATTTATCAAGGGTAATTTTTTTCTTTTATAAAATCCAATGTGCAAGACCACACTGTATACCGAAAAATTCATTTCTTATCGCTATCATCGCCGCTGATTAAAAATTGCTGTGCATACCTACATAAAATGTATAAAATCCTAGATTTATCACACTGCTGATCTGTTATTAACGGTGTTTAACACAAGTTTGCTGGAGGAGCGAGGTATTTGCAAATTAGCTATTGTCTAAAAATAGTTGTCATATTTTGTTTCATGTTAGTAGCTGTCATGATCATTGGTATTTACAATGCAATTTCTAAATTCTAATAGATTGTATCTCCTAACTTTGGTTCCTTTCTAAATTTTGCTGCCTTTAGTATGAATATGGAACTGAAAAAACACAACGAGATGTTGATAAACTACAACCGCAGAAGGTCATCCGCAGTCGCCGACTTGGTGATGAACGTAGTGGTTGGGAAGAATATATTGAGTATACATTCCCCGATACCGATGCAGAAAAGCCAAACCAAAAATTGCTTACAATGGCGGCTAGATGGGCAGAGCAAATGGAGAGGAAAAAAGCAGCTGCAGAGGCTGAGGGTAAAGAGGATAGCGATTCCAGCGAAGAATCTGAAGAAGAAGATGATTTACAAGGTGATGAAGATGATAATCGTATTCCTGAGAGAGAGCCTACATGGTTTGATCGAAAAAACAAAGAAGAAATTGAAATCGACGAAGACAGTGATTAAAAGAAAGCCTAGTTTTATATTTTTGTATATTTTTAAAATATTGTACAGTCAAATACACATTTATTAAATCCAGTAGAAAAATAACATTTTTCTTAATTGTAGTAGAGATATTTACTGGTTTATGACTCCTCATCTGGCGGTAACCAATCGACAGTAACTGAGCACTGTGATCCATTAAAAAAGTACCAGTTTCCATGCGGTGCACCTTTTCGTGTTATGGCCTATGAAATATGAGATAGTGGTAAATTAGCAATACTAAAAGTCGATTTGGAGAAAACTGCAAATTAGTTACAGTGATACTGACGTCAAAAAGGCGGGTTACGGATGGGGGATGTTAATGAACATCAGGTAGATAAACGAATTTTCGTGAGTTGGGAAGACACTTGTCAACTCACCAAGGCCAATTTAAATAACATGGTAGTGCACCTCACAGTGAGACGCAGTCGTTTAGGAAAAGTGGCACTCATTTAAGCAACGGTCTTCATAGCACATGCAGAAATCTTTTACTCAAGGAAGATGATGTCGTGATCTTGAAACCAGAAAAACTATTTCAGACGTTTGTTTACAACCAGCCTTGACATATGCTGATCAGTGATATAGTTAAATGGGGAAGTTTCTTCCACGAGTGAACTGTTTGTTGATCTCGTTTACTGGTCTAAGGCATAGAAAGTGGTGGCCACAGGATTTATGTAACAAGGCCTATAGTTAATCTGTGGTATAGTTAGATCCTCTGTTTACTTAAGTTTATACACTAGTAGGCAAGATATTCTACATTTGTATTTTTGTAACTTCGTAACCCTGTATACGTAGTTGGACATTGCCGTAGCATCTATCACTGCAATAATGCAAGATGATACTCGGTTTATTCACATGGTGCCTCTTGAAGAGATCTCGACTTATTGAAGATAATAACAAAATAGCTTCTACATACCCTGATTATTTCCTGGGACACAACACCACCAAGTACTGGATTAACAGCTGGGATTGTAGGACCACAACAACATCTGTGTAAAAAGATAACATGCAAAATCTGAGATATAATACTGAGGCGATCTTTTAAAGTGACATTAAAAATACAAACATTATTCGAATTTCATCCCCCAATATCTATTTACATCAAAATTATTTAAGAGTTCACTGAGTTTGTTTTGTAAGGTGAATAGTTGTCTCTAACCTACTAGTTTATAGTAATTGACCGAACTGCGAATTTCCACGGTATTGGAGATTTTGTGTCCGACATTAATATACGTGATGCTTTAGTGATGTGTTGGCGAGAGTGATAATGATTGGTTGTCTGACATTTGGATAGACTGACAGGTGTCAAGTGAGTTATATATTCCCCTATCCTTACTATTTATCATTATTCATTGACTGTCCATTTGTTGTTGGATTGTGTCGGTTTTGGTGTGAAAATTAATTTACGTTCTTGTCGGGCTGATCACGTGTTCTTGATCTGAGTTGTGTCAAAGTCCTGTAGATTAGACACTTGGACGGAATCTAGTGTAGATATTCGTCTAAGGTGAATTAACGTCCCATTCGCGTGTAAAAAAAGCAAAAGGACCGTTATAACATTTAGTCTTGCTTGGTGCCTGAACCTTATTATTTACATTTCACAATTTGTCCGAAAAGGTTTCACTTTTAAATATTTGACCAAAAAAACCATTTTCGCGGTTAATAACAATATTATAAGTGTAGGTGTCAAGGTTGCTAGAAATTCATTATATATATATATATATATATATATATATATATATATATATATATATATATATATATATATATATATATATATATATATATATATATGGTTGCTTGATCTTTTTTCATTATTTTTTTGACTGAATTACATTACAGAGCGATGTGATATGGGATTGCACTTCAGGGCTTAAACGGATTGAAATGCAATATCAGGCCATAAGTGCGTTTTATCTGAGAACAGTAGGAGTACAACTTACTCTAAATCTTCAATGGAAAGAATTGTTTCATCTATATCCAGAAACTTTGATACATTTTGCCATTGGGATTGTAAATATGGTAGTGTAAATGGTGCTTCGTCGATAGAGCATTGGTTTAAAACTGAAGATTAAATAACATTGATAATGCAAAAATCGTCGAGTATGATATAAACAACGTAATAAATGGCTATGAATTAAATATTAACTTCAGGGTTTGCTGTGTAACATCAGAAGGGGTTGAACATTTTCGACAAAAGGCATTTTGCATGACGTCTCTTAAGATAACACAGTTTTGGTGAGATAATGAAAAAAAGGTTTGTTGTTTATTTGTTCTTCCATGTTTGTGAAAATAGTCTTGATAAATGAATGTACTGAAAAGGAGTTCTTTGGAGAAGACTATAAACAACTGACTGAAATCATGTCTTTAATATCAGTGCATAAATAAAACACTGATCTTTGTCGATAATTTTGCACCGCGTTGCTGAATGCAAATATCGCGCTGTCAATTTTGATAGAACATGTTATCGGTTGGTTAGAAAACAGTTTATCATTGGCCCATGAACACGTATGCGTAATGTTGGACAACCATTCCTTGCAAATCAATTGGCAGCGAAGGGGGGGGGAGTGATTAAGGCAATAGCCACAGTTTCGTTTTTAAAGCTTACTATTTTAAATCGAATTGTAGTATCCAACTCAGTCTACTTCGAGCAAGAATTTTATATTATTAACTGAAGCCTCTCCACTGCATAATTTTCAGTTATAAAAGAGATCTTTTATTTAAAAGTTTAGTGTATTTTATTCAGTACAATAACAGTAGTTTTTACATATTATCAGATACGACAGTGTATAAAAAACTATCGGTGGTACCTAGTGTTGGGGTGATCCAAAAAATTTCTCGCAATAGACAAGAAAGGCTCAGGAAACACTGAGAAGCATTTTTATTCAATCAGCGTTTGACTAGAAGTTTTGTCAAAAACATCACGGAAGTAAAAAGTCACATGTAGAGTTTCTGATTGACTGATTAATATACTTCTACTATGTTTAATAGCATTCCAGAATTTTCAGGAAAACCCAAAGATTTCTAAAATACTATAGAAACCCTATGTTTTCTGTACATAAATGAACCTGTGGAGTGAAGTACTTCTCGCATATTTTGCGCCTTTTCTCTCGTGTTCGAGTCGCTGTGTAGATTTAGCTTGGGGGTTACGAAACTAGCTTAGGATCCGAGTATAGCGTTCAATTAGCAAGACTTATCATCTAGCTGCACAGATAGAAGTAGGTAGAATTCAACCACGTGAAAATCTATATTTCCATAGATGTTATGGAGCTGAGATACTGAACATATTATTTTTGCAATAACTGGGATAAGTGCTGATCATGTCATGTCTAATCATACAAGTCTGTACAACTTGATGACAGTGTGCTAAATAAAGACGACCTCTCTATGACACAAACATTGACTATAAGTAATTATAAACTATTGACAACGTACAAACAAAGGATTAGGTTGGGAAATGTGGGTTAAAGCTAGTGTGTTGTCATACTTAAAAGAATCTAAAAGTCTAATCATAATCGAAGCACGATACCTACTAATGATTGAAGTGGGGATTTAAGGGATTTCAGTAGCTAGGAGGAAACTGATAATAGCGAAAGAATCGTGTAGGTAATATTAATTACATGATAAAGACTTTCACAAATTAGTTTTCTAAACAAAACATACCTTGCATAAGAAAGTATCCTTTGGGAATAAATTTAGCATGTGATCTATTTTTTAACGTGTTAGAAATCAGGCATAGGCTGTCTAACAAGCGACAATAGTTGAATGTCTACAACAAAGAGGAAAACACTATGCATAGAGAGTATACAATGTACACAATTAACTAGGGATGTGTACAAGATCCAGACAGCTTCAATGTCTCTTATTAATTACAAAATTTGTTATATGTCACTGGCATAAAGTAAATAAACCCAAGAAAGAAATTCGCTTTAATAACAGGGTATTAATATGTGTATAAAAATTCACCACCCATAATTTTATCTACTCAGAGCTCACATGTCTACTGATCCAAGAGTTGCGTGTTTAATTTACCGATAAGAAAAACCAAGGAGTCTTTCCAGTTTTATGTAGTATATGATACTTCAAAAATCAACCCATACATTCTTGAGAATAAAATTAAGGTAGAGAATATCTAATTGACATTTATTATCAGTCTAAGTATTTTTTTATTTTCCTAGTGATTATTAATGACATATCCGTCCCATTTTTTATTGATTTTCCTCATCCTATTAACTGCTGTATCAGATGCTGGGAGCAATAATTTTAAGTTTTTTAGGGAGAAACTGACCTAACAGCTTTCAGTAGGACTGAATGTTTAACAGCGTATGGTGGTGCACCGCAAGGGAGGATTTTCAGTATTACAGTTCCATCATATCTTATTAGACTTCCTTAAAGTACACTGAGACTGCTTATGAATATTTTTATGGACAATAATACGGTGTCCATTTTGAAAATATTGAGATACAGTAAACAAATAAGCATTTATGGTGCTGAATTGACAATCACACAGAATTTCTACGAGTTGGAATTTGAATAAAAAGCACATAGTTAAATTTGCAAGGCATGAAATACGAAACTATGCTTCATTGGATCATCACACGTCTATTTTTGGTTGGACTACATCTCAACCTAGTTTACTTATTAATATTGATAATTTCAGATTTTGCAGACGAAACGACTTATACAGATATAGATCAACTTGAAAATTACCTTTTTTACAAATACCGTCTCTGTATTTGATGGTTCACTAGTTTTATTTATCTTTTGAATTGAACCAGATGGTAATCCTACCATTGATCTTTTCTTTACTACCACATCTTCACTAGAATAGGCAAGATAACAACAATAATTACACACTTATTGAAATTATTATAGGAAGATAATAACAGGAGTAAAAGTGTAGTCATTTATGATCAACATTCAAAAGAAACCCATTTCATAATTTTAAAAATTGTCTCCCATAGGGAACGTGGAAGAAAATGCAGGTTAAAAAGCTATTTGCAAGAATATTAACAGATTTTCACGTAGTTCTATTCGATCAGTAAAATCTTATATTTATCGTACGCGTCCAGGGATGAACCAATTAGAATCAAGGCAACATCTAAGTTTTGCACGAAATGTAAATGTCACCTATAATAAGCAGTAGAGATACATTTTACGCTGCTTAGAACGTTTAAAGTGACAGCAAAATCTTAATTCTTACCATCATAGAGTAAAAATGATACTGTTAAACTCATCAAGTGTTCAATTCTGTCTATATAGATTGTATGCAACAGGTGAATCGATATCGCCCTCAAATAATAATCATCGATTTTGAAACAAAACTTAACCTGGTGACATTATATTTTATGAAATGCTTCCTGGGTTTTTGAGCAAAACCCTCTCATTTATATGGTTACAGAGCCTTTTCGCACTATAGCTATCATTCCGTAGTGAAAATCATAACCCTCAACCTCTAGTCTTGACCCTAATCAAGAACAGACAATATGGAGGCTTTCAGAAATTAATTTGGGTCCCTACACGGGCTTAGGAAGGCACATAATATATAGTCCATAAGAACGAATTCGCGTGCGCTTATTTTTTGATTTACAGGCAGAGAAACCTATCAAAGACTTTAACAGATTCATTAATTATGTAAAATTCGAGTAAAGCTAGAACAACAATTGAGGCATAATAGGATGAACTGATTATATTTTGTTTCTCGTCAGCTGCTTACAACCATAACGTAACATAGAAGTATGATATAATTTGAATCAATCGACATTGATAACGGCTTTTCCAACCACCTAATTCCCTAAACTTATACCAACACTTCAAATCCCGTTTACTTACTACGTAACCCATCTTATCAATTTCTAATTCTAGACAATTACCACCTGAGTGCTCCAAATCTTCTAAATCTATTTTTAAGTGATTCGAACCATATGTAAACTCTTCACAACTTCTATAATTATTACACAATCCATCTTATCTGTTCTCAAACTTCATTTAATTACTGCCTTACCCATTCCCCTCTTTTTTCAAATTCAATCTCCAAATGAATCACTACATGTTTTGGGCTTTATTCAAATTCGTAAAGGGAATTAATTATATGTAAAATCTATTTACACTGAGCAATATTAGTGTTTTTTCCATAAACTATCTATCTACAAAAGCTGTTTTCTAGTTGGCTAAGAACTAGCTGAAAATTTGTCGTTTTTTTAAGCTCATGCCTATACTACACTCCTATGGACATTATTATAGGTAGTGAAATATCTTTGACATGATGGGTGGAATTCAAGTACTTCCTGACAAACCACTGTTAACAGTTAGTCTGAGCATAAACAGAGAGGGAGGAGTTTTCGTTAGCCAATTTAGTAGCATATGTTCGTTTCAACCTACGCTAATAAGTGATTGATGTAATTTCTAAATTTATATAAGCTCCATAGAAACAAAATATAATTAGTAGATTTCAATTATCATTCACTAATGACATTAATTGGGGATTATTTGAGCTAAAAATAGCACCGTATTTCATTAATGAAAGATAGAGAGTATTGAACAGAGTGAATTTGAGTAATATTGATTACTGTAAATGAATCTAAACTCTCTTAGGTAGCTATCAATTATTTGATATAACGCAAAATAGTTGCTGTGAAACACCTGTTAGACGTTTGACAGACTTAAAAGAATTTTGTGAATTGAAGGTAGTTAATACGATAGTTAGGTTTCCCGTAAAATAAACGACCATTGTTAAGACATTGATGTGACTTCAAAATGATCGATCAGAAAGAAAAACCTAGTGAGAAGATAAACCTACATTAGCAAAGTAAAAAAAGTTATCTTTTATATCGAACTACCTAACAGCCCCCAAATGCCCTGGTACGGCCGAGAGTGGGGAGAGTTTGCTCTCCCTCTCGAAATGCTCTCACATGGCCAGCGAATATATAGCCTCTGCTAGAGAAGTCCTACTCACTGCCTTCTCGTGGCACCGGTGTTGTTTACGAAAGTGAGAGGACGAAGAGCGAATGTCCGGCGCTTTAACCGGATTGGTGGATGTGGAGGTTCCACCTAGGGGAGTTGGAAAACCCTGATTCCAAACCAATGGTGCACATGGGCTTCAGTATCCTGATGGAACGAATGGCGTATGAACCTATTGTTGGTCACCGGCTACCATGGGACTGCATCTCCTCACGATGCTCCACTACATTGTGGATCAGACTTTTAGGTCAAAGGCTCCGGGTGTGGCCCCCTAAGAAGACCACCTGCTTCAGTCTGGACACCTGAGCAGTATCACAGCCCTCACACAAATCGAAAGAGATTTGTATGGCGCATATGTATCTGGTGTTTCCTTTATATTCCAAAACTGTATCATTTACACATTCAAAACTTCAAAGGAACATTTAGGCTGAAGCCCTAACTTAAAAGTCAATGTAATTCGAATAATTTACAACACATTTAGCTAAAACGCTAACTTTTTACCTTGTGGTCAAAATCCGGTTTCAACAGTTCAGACCTTGTAATCCCGGTTAATAATTCCAATTTGATACCCTGAATACTTTCGTTTAAGTTTCGAAAACCTAGAAAACTTTGTCAAAGTGTGACTACCTAATTAAATTTGTGAGAACTTTGATACATATTAATCAGATTCTACGTGACTTACAATTAAGTAATATCTAGCGATCATGGTCAGACTTAGATTGCCACCAAATAGTTGTATTTGCCAACTAGTTTTCCGCTCTCAGCATTTTTCATCTAACTACTTTTCTTTTGTTTCGATATATGTGTTAAACTGATTGACCTTCTTTAATACTAGCATTCTTAGTACTCTGGATTCATTAATTGGTCTATTTCGGAATTTGTATCAATTAACTTAATTTTGGAAAAAATGGTATCCGTACAAACAGAAATTTCTTCTGTATAATCCCACTTACGCCTGACAAATGGTATATTGCACCCAAATGCCATTATTACGGCGAGAGTGAAGAAACTCAGCTCTTCCTCTCGAAATGCTCTTACATGGCCACACGTATACAACAACTATCAGGCAAGTCCTACTCACTGACTTCTTGTGAAGAGGGTGGTTTCGCGAAATTGAGAGGACGAAAATCGAATTTCCGATGCTTTAACCGGGTTGGTGGAGAACCTACCTAGGGCAGTTTGAAAACCCTGACTCCAAACCAATGGTGCACTTGGGCTCCAGGATCGTGGAGGAATAAATGGTGTATTAATCTATTGTTGGTCTCTGTGTACCATGGGACTGCATCTCCTAATGTTGCTCCACTGTCTTATGAATTAGACCTCTGGATGAAAGGCTCGGGGAGTGGCCCTTAGGGTAACCATATGCTTCAGTTTGGGCGGTCAGACTGTATCCCAGCCCGCATATAGATCGAATGTCAAAGTGCGGCGCATATGTATTTGGTGCCTTCTTGTGCCAATGTTTACGTGTTTAAATAAATGACTTAGTGAATAATAAATTTCAAGTTCATTAGAGCATATAAATAATGAATTGAGATATGTATTACTTACGACAAACATTCATGTGCGCCAAGATCTATGAACGCGAGTCCGAACAATCCGGTTACTGACGCACATATTATATATGGTCTTGTATCTATGTCCATGTCACTCACAATACTACATATAGTTGACCACCGTTTAAAATGAACGCTTGAACATTCGGTAACAAGGATGATCAAATTATATTCTTGAAATTTATCTTTTAGATTATCTCCCAACTCAGAAGACTGTACTTTAACCATTGGATTCAAGCTTTGAGTACGAGCAATAACCGCATCGGCACGCTAAAAAATGTAAAAGTTATTGTAAAGGAAAAAACAAACTACTACTTACGCTTAATCCAACACAATCACGTGGTATAAGGAAGTTGTTCTCCAAATCGTCATCAGTGACTTGTTGACCATCTATAATTGTGAGGCTGGAGATACCCGCCAAAACAATATTTTTAGCTATTTCTGCAGCTAATGGATTCATACCAAGTAATAAAACTTTAGACTGTTTTAGTCGATTTTGTGATTCTATGCCCCATAGTCTTATTTGTCTGTCATACAATTCAGCTTCTTCTTCTGTTATTAGATTGTTGGAGAGATTTTCGGATACCATTTTTTCCAAAATTAAGTTAATTGATACAAATTCCGAAATAGACCAATTAATGAATCCAGAGTACTAAGAATGCTAGTATTAAAGAAGGTCAATCAGTTTAACACATATATCGAAACAAAAGAAAAGTAGTTAGATGAAAAATGCTGAGAGCGGAAAACTAGTTGGCAAATACAACTATTTGGTGGCAATCTAAGTCTGACCATGATCGCTAGATATTACTTAATTGTAAGTCACGTAGAATCTGATTAATATGTATCAAAGTTCTCACAAATTTAATTAGGTAGTCACACTTTGACAAAGTTTTCTAGGTTTTCGAAACTTAAACGAAAGTATTCAGGGTATCAAATTGGAATTATTAACCGGGATTACAAGGTCTGAACTGTTGAAACCGGATTTTGACCACAAGGTAAAAAGTTAGCGTTTTAGCTAAATGTGTTGTAAATTATTCGAATTACATTGACTTTTAAGTTAGGGCTCCAGCCTAAATGTTCCTTTGAAGTTTTGAATGTGTAAATGATACAGTTTTGGAATATAAAGGAAACACCAGATACATATGCGCCATACAAATCTCTTTCGATTTGTGTGAGGGCTGTGATACTGCTCAGGTGTCCAGACTGAAGCAGGTGGTCTTCTTAGGGGGCCACACCCGGAGCCTTTGACCTAAAAGTCTGATCCACAATGTAGTGGAGCATCGTGAGGAGATGCAGTCCCATGGTAGCCGGTGACCAACAATAGGTTCATACGCCATTCGTTCCATCAGGATACTGAAGCCCATGTGCACCATTGGTTTGGAATCAGGGTTTTCCAACTCCCCTAGGTGGAACCTCCACATCCACCAATCCGGTTAAAGCGCCGGACATTCGCTCTTCGTCCTCTCACTTTCGTAAACAACACCGGTGCCACGAGAAGGCAGTGAGTAGGACTTCTCTAGCAGAGGCTATATATTCGCTGGCCATGTGAGAGCATTTCGAGAGGGAGAGCAAACTCTCCCCACTCTCGGCCGTACCAGGACATTTGGGGGCTAAAAGTGCGCATCCACGAACCCGCTCTCGCGAGATTCGAACCCAGGACCTACCAGTCTCGAGCCGAAGCCCTGGTATATAAAGACAGCGAAGTGTTTCAGTGCAGATGAAATATTAAAAAAGGATTTTGTATGCGTTTCAAATGATACTCAAGGATTCTTTTGCACCAATTAGTTTAAGCATATGCAAATAAACGGTTAAGTTGACCACAAATTCCAGAATCTAACATACCTTTACACACTGACTACCATAGAAATCCCAAATTAAGGTTGCTAATTTTCAATAACTTCTGCCATTTGCTTATGCATCAAGGCATATCTAGGAGCAGGTGTGCTAAACAACGCTATACACCATTCCATTTTGGTTATATAGGAGACGCCAGCAATCACCTATAGATGTTCCCGAATCATTGGTAGCATAACATAAACAAAAGGTTTGGAATGTTAAGATTAAGTCTACATTTCCAGGAAGGGAAGCTATAGATCTTAACTCCCTAAGTCGAATGTAATGTATTATTAAAGTTAAATCACAGACTACTTAAAGGTTAGTGATGGTAAAAACACGTATCAAAGGTATTCTAAGACTGAGAATATCATATTAGAGGGAAAGTCTTGCGAGGAAACTCTGGGACCTATTTATCTTTGTTCGTAAAAAGACGTTTCTACTGTCAAGATAACTGGTTACTGTTGACAGTCAGACTGCAACTACTAAATCTTGCTATTATGAGAAAACTTTAGTGGAAAAACCTCGAAAGATTTTGGAGAAATATGGAAATCCTAACATTTCCCCGAAACTTTTGGATTTTCCTCAGACCTGGTGAGGTTTACTACACAGTCTATAACGACGATAAACTGTAAGCACGTACACTAAAAGACTGAAAATGATGAGATGAACGAAATAAATATAAAATAAAAATCAGTAAACAGTCAGCATAGAGGAAAAATATATTATACAAAACCGATCAATTATAGTGAATACACCTCTTTTATATGGTCCGAAAACTTCTCAATGTTAGAAAAAGTTTCAGAGGTTTTAAAATCGTAATGCATAAGGTAGAGGAACTCATCCATATGGCTCCATAATAATGTATCTCTGAAGCCATGATAAGGTCACAAAAACCCTCTCCGCCTCGACCACATAGTTTCATTATTGTTTTTTTGTACTCCAGTTGTGTAAGTTTATCATTTTCATTATAGATATGTCCCCACAACAGTCATACAATTGAGCAACCGAAGCTTCAGTAACATCTGCGATTATTGCAGCCAATGTTACTGGTGCTTTTATTATACAGTTGGTGGCTATTATTATAATTCGCCTTAGTCTCAATCTGTTCGAGTGATAGACGTTCCAATTCTAGCAAACGTCTTCCTTCAACATGTATTACATCGAAAAAACACATCATCAGGGTAGTCTGCACAAAATATTCGAGTCACTAAATTACCACATTCACAAATAGAGAAACTTCTTAGTAGTCTCATTCGTTGTAGCCGCTTAATTGTCAAGTCTTCTCTAAGATTCTCTGTAAACAGATCGTACATGAGAATCTGGTACTGAAACTGACGCAGTGACCTTGAAACAACTCAAACGCTTCTGATTGGCTCACTGATAACGCAGCTCGCCCTCACTTTTTAACAATGATTTGGTACACAATTCCTCTGATTAACTATTGAATTCAGTGGTATGTGGAGTCACACAGACGGCAAGGTAAATAAGTCAGTGCGTTTTCAAACCTGCCCGCCGTTTCCTTTTTGCGACCTTGAACGGCTTGATACGAGGCGGTCATTGCGTATTTGATTTGTTGAGGGTCGTTTGGTTGTCCTCTGGGTTGCACGAATATCATGTTTTCTTGTATTTGCGTCGTCTTTGGCTGTAGTAAATTCGCAAAATCAATGCCAAAAGTGTTCATCGAGCTTACTCTGTTTTGTAGTGTACAATTTGGCTCTTTTGTTGCTACGTAACTTGACCTGGGATACCAATTACCCTACTGAACCTCACTCTCCTTGTTTAAAATTTGTAGGGGTCCAAAAAAATGCGTATTCAGTATAAATTATCAGTAAAAGATAATCTGTATTTGTGTGAATAGTTGTTTTCTGCAAGAATTAAGACAACATGACAAGTAGTCCGTAATTCCTAAATGTTTGTAGTCCTTTCTTCAGTTACTGAAGTATTATCGCATGAAATGGCTGTTTTGTTAATAATTAACGAGTAATGTTTGTAGTGATTTTTGTTCCAGAGACATTTCGGTCGACTTAAGTGAGGCGTTTCAATGCATAATACTGAGCAGGTGTTTTGGAACCTGGATTGAATTCGATGGTGTTTTTAAGGAGTTCCAAAAAGTATGGATGCATAATTCCATCTCTTCTCAGACTACCCTACGCCTAATATTCACGGCGAAAGTAAACTGCTGAAGGACGTGCGATTTAAATACAGTTTTGTGGTGTTATGAAGTAGATTCAGGCAATTGCGAGTGCAATTGTCGAACATTTATGACTTGTCGATATCCCTGTCGTCGACATATGTAAAAAGACCAACTCTTACAGGTAAGCTTAATCAACTACGAAACAAATAAACTAATTAGCTCATCACATACTTAGACCATGCAGTCGATGGAAGTTAAATAACACGCATAACTTCCATTTTAATACAACAATATCATTACCCAGACGGAGTGAAGACTATATACGAATTCAAAGAAGCCAGAAAATCCATAAACAACAGATAGTTGAAAAATATGGTGAACACTTCGCCATGGTGGTGGAGAAAAAAGTAGACAATTATCACTTAAAAATCAATAACTAGGTAAGACTGCCATTTCTCTTCCTGCAGTTCTATTTACGATCAGTATATTCGGATGAATAATTGGAGTGGCATTGTTTCCTAATCCCATGGTCTCCGGAGTCAAGCATATAATAACTAAAAAGATTTAACACTTGGAGAAGGTCGGAAGTGGTGAACGTGGGATATTCATTCAATCGAATGGCATGACTCAGTGTTGCAGACGCGCTCATTATGTTTAACTTATTTATATTCACATTAAATATGTTATTCTATCCCGAGCATAAATGTGTTCTTCAGAAGTACTATGTATTGTTATTTGTCGCGATACGATGGGTCAGTGTAGATAGTGATGCGATTTTCACGTAAGATCTTACAGACTAGGCAATCAAACGATAAATTTACCGTTATCGGACAACGTCTATTATGAAAGTAGTATTAGTACCGAACTAGACTATACACATACTAAAAAGATTTAAAGTGCGAAAAACTACAGTTGTTATATTTATATTATATTTAGATAACTTATTAGATGAATAAACGCGGTAGTAGTCAATAAAAAACACAGTTATCGTCAATGTGTGAATTGTTTCTCCGCATAAAGTTTCATATTAAGAAATTCGCCAAGTTGTTCACCTGCATAGACTTGATTATTACAAAGATTTGAGCCTTTCAATTAGTTGACAGAAGTCCTAAGTTGTATAACAAAATGTATTGATAGCTTGCTCAATGCAATTCTGAAAAACAACAAATCAATCGTGAAAAAAAAGATTAAACTTCGTTATCAGTATCAAATTTCATAAGTAAATGAAATAGCAATTGATAGGATGTACCTGTAAGTGTTTTACTTGCTGTAAACAGTGCTCTACAACTTCATCTAGTTATTCGGTATTAACAAACAAACTTCAGGCACCAAACGAAGGTGCTCACAAACTTTAATTAGTTTTATGAAATTTGAGAAAAATCCAATTACAACGTTCATAATACTGTTTGCAGTTCACTGTTTACATACAATAATGAAATAACTGGTAACCACTATTTAGCGATTACTCGTCAACATGCATTAACACTTTGTTTATGATTGAGTCAGTGATTTCGGATTCTGTTAACAGAAATTTATATTTTAACCCTATACGAGACATCGTAAAATAGTATTATCGACGACGTGTTTTAGTTACCATGCTCATAACAAACACGCGTCGCTTTACTTAAGGAGAGAATTTGGCTAACTTAAGTGGCACTTACAGTAATGTTCTACACAATTCCTGTATAAATTCAGAAAGCGGGCAGAAAAATCTATCAACGCCAATTGTTCAGTTTCAGTTTGGAAGACAAGAAAAATGAGGGCATATAGGGTGCAAATTTGTCATTAGGCAATTTGAAAACTGTAATCAAGTCGTCTCTGATTCTTCGATATGACAGCGGGAATAGGTTTAGCTTGGTCAGTCTAATACCATACGGGAGCTTCGCTATTCCGGGAATCAGTCTAGTTGCTGTACTCTGAACCCTTTCCAAGAGTTCACTGTCTTTTTTTAGGCAGGGGCTAGCTTCTTGTATGCAGTACTCAAGTTTAGGGCGTACGAACACTGTATACAAAGTCAGAAACGTTTTAGCGTCAAGATGCCTAAAAGCCCTGCATATGAACCATAAAGTCCTAAAACCTTTGGCGGCTATTGCACGGCAGTGTGCAGTAGTCTTTAAGTCTTGACTAACGATGACGCCTAAGTCATTGTGTGCCTGGACAATAGGTAACTCAGTGTTATTCATCGTGTATGCATCTGTGCCCTGGTGGCCAATATGCATCACAATACACTTGTGTTAAGTCGGCTTACAGTAAACTCTATCAGAGCCTCCAGAGGCTCATAAAGAGCCCAACCAATCAGCGATTAGTTAGAAGCTATGCTACTAAAATAACGAGGTCCTGATTGGCTG